GTGTACGTTCCCTTGGAACTGGAATCATGGCGGAATTTTATGTGAAGTCCACTTCGCAGGGCACTTACGGTCAAATAAGACAACGCGTGAATGCTGCCTGAACAAGAAACCTCCTTACTGGAGTGAAAGTGTTGACTGGTGTCACTTGAGGGCAAAATGATATATCGGTCGGGCTCTAGTTTTAACATGCTCTGAAAAGTTTTAACGGACATCAAAACAACAAGAATGTTAAAAGCCTGTTTTTAGTATGCTGCGCCATCAATGTTTCTAAAATCACTGCTTCTAAAATTATTATGGCTAAGCAACCAAGAAAAAAAACCTAGGTAAAACTCGCGGCACTAACTGGCTATTTAGTTGTTGAACAATCCATTCTAACCCACTTGTAATGTCAGATTGATAAAATACATCAGCAAACATCATAGATGTAGGGTGGGGAGGATAAATTCAGTCAACAGAAAGTGACATTATAAAACTGTCAGCACCACCAGCTCACTCATTAATAATGGCTCTATAAATAGTTTAGTTTTGTTTTTCTATTTCAGGTTAGCCAAACCCCCCGCCCAAAAAAAACCAACAAAACAACAACATGATATTCCCACAAGCAACAATTGTAATGAGATTAAAGAGCATTTGAATTAGGAAATGAAAGCTTGTTTATCTTTTAACCTATTTATATTTAAATATTATATAATAATATAGTAAATACATTGTGTACACATGTAATTTACTGTATATTAGAATTAATTTTAAGAAATATATATATTTTTTTTAAACATTTCCTTAAATCGAAAGCTCTTTCCTCTTACTAGAATTGTTGCTTGTGGAAATATAATCTATAGTTTTTTTTGTTTTTAGTTTTGTTTTTTTGCTAGCCTGAACCAGAAAAGCGGCTTAAACTATTTATAGAGCCATTGTTAATGAGTGAGCTTATACTAAAAGTTTTCCTCATGGTTTGAGTTTAATCTGGCTGTGCGAAACAAGCCTGCCAACATAATTACAATTAAAATAGGACAAAGTGATCAAAAGATCTTGCAAACTCAAAAGTGCATAATTTTTTGGATGTTAAAATACTTCCTCCTATCATAGTTTAATAAGTACTGTGTTTGCTTGAGCATCCCGACCAGCCAGACACAGGAACACTGGCTCAACCAACGGCATAAACAGTGCTTTTGAATAGAGAAGTGGTGTTTCTCTTCACTTGAAGACAGAACTTCAGATGGAGCAAAGCACACAGTGTTCAGGGTATATGAGAGTGAAACCTCTGGAAAAGAAAAACAAAGTCATCCAGAAGTAGATTCCCCCAGATTCTATCCAAGACACACCTAAGTACGTTCAAACAGAGCGATCGATACATGTATGGCTGAGGAGTTCATTCCATGTATAAGGTAGAAACAGAGAGGCTTATTAAATATGAAAGTGAAGTGTGAAAGACACTTCGACACACCGCACTGCAGCATGAGGCACAGAGTCTCTCACATCTCCCTTGTTCTTCCACACTCTCTCTCCTTCTCATATCTTTGTTCTTCTTCAAAAGCACCCTCATATTTTGTTTAAACCACAGAACTGCATCATATGTGTCTCACTGGTATCTCAAAGAAAGAACAAATAAAACCTCATCCTAAATCTTACGTAGCAAGTTTGAGGAAAACTGCTTGAGGTCGATTTGCAAAACTAAATATTTAAAGACAAAATGAAACAGCACTGAAAATGAAACTCATTCAAAAAGTTTAGTAATGTGATGAGATTTGAGTGAAAAGTTCTGAAAATATTCAGATGGAAATAAGGTAGGACGAGACGTGATTGGCTCATTTAAAAAGTAGGTATTTATTAATATATTCCAAAAGCCCCTTTCTTTAAACGAGTCCGTAATATTGCTTCCTCCTAGCAAAAAGTCCATTACTCGTTGTCCTCTCATGTCAGAATCCACAGACACTTGTTTCGAACTGCTTATAAACTGCTTTTGCTTATAAACGGTGCTTGATATCTGTATATTTCTCTCCTGATTCAGACGAAACAACTTTTCACTTGAGAAAGTAATATGATGGATAGAGGACTTGTGAAGTTAAAATGTCTTGATTTTATTACAATAATACAGCTTTTCGCTTGACAAGACGTTAATTGATGGACGAGTCGTGTGGATTACTTGTGGATTATGGTGATGTTTTTATCAGCTGTTTGCACTCTCATTCTGATGGCACCCATTCACTGCAGACAATCCATCAGACAGTAAGTGAAAAAATGCTAAATTCCTTCAAATCTATTCCAATGAAAAAAAAACTCAGATGGGCCTGAGGGAGAGTAAATCTTCAGTTAATTTTCATTTTTGGGTAAACTTTTCCTTCTTGGGTAAAAAAATCCTTTAAGAATGTTCAGTCAAAGGTTTATTTATCCGCATTTCACAACGGCTTTCAATGCAGCTCATCCTATCAGGATTCAGAACCATTTTTTTATACTATTCTTTTTCCCTGCACACACAGCCTTAGTTACATCAGCAGCAAAGTAAGACGCAAACAGGATCAATTGTGATTTCTTTGTTCAAACATGCTCGCATGTACACACACAGATAAGATTCAGTCCCAGTAGTCGAATCTTGTTTAGCTCTGCAGCTGAGAGCCAGCGATAAACAACACACACAAACAAACACAGAAATGATTATAGGGACGGCGAACTGCACAAGCACGTCTCATCTTTCGAGAGTGCGAGCTTTAGACGGCACACAAAAGTGGATGTAGATGGGATTGCCCGTGTCTGTCCTTACCAACCTGAACCAAATCATCCCCCAAGAGCAGTAATTTACATGTAAATGAGACTCCAACATGCATGTGCGCTCCTTACTTACCGAATATATTGGTGGAATGTCCTTTCTTGGCGATGGGTTTGAGCTCGTTGTGGCCCCAGCCGTATTGCCTGTAGCTGTCCCACGCATGTTTCATCATCTAGAACACAGAAATGACAGGAAGTTAGCTTTGCCCATAAATATATCAAGTATAGTGAGTATCTGCATTACAGAACCCTGATACAGCTGCATCCTACTGATTGGTTCATCTACAGCTGCCTGCCTTCATGACATCTTCATTGCAAAACCTTTTAAAAACACCGCCTGGAAACAACCCCATTGTTCGATGCAAAATATAGCAACATGAAAGTCAAAAAAGCAGTTTGGTCTGATAATGTATGATGCGTTTTAACAGGGTAGAATAACACAGGGATGCACAAAAGCCTTTGATGTGAAAGATGAAGTGTCGCAGCAGAGATGTCCTGTTACCCAGAAGCCCCTGCTGTGACCGTGACCGCGTCTGCTGCGCTGTCGTTCCCCTTTCAGGTCACTGGCCAGCAGCACCCTGTCGATGTATCTTCACTCTGTGCATGTGTGTTTTTCTTTTTTTCCCCCTCTGGGGAAAGATGAATGGACACAGTGTGTGTCTGCGTCTCTAAGCGTGTCTTTGTCTCAGCTGTGGCTCTAGGCATCCTCTCTCTGAGCTCTCTTGCTCACTCGCTTCCATTAAACGGCTGGCTGGAATTCAGCTCCGAGCCACTCCACATTTAGACATGTCTTCAAACATTACCACTTTGGAGTAATACTTCCTCCAAAAGCAGAACGCTTGTGACAAGGCTGATAAGGTGCGTGAAAAGCACAATAACTAAATTTCGGTTCTGCTCTAAAAGCTAGCGCTTGCTGTCTACAGCCTATGGTTTTTAAAGTAAAATTTCACCAAAACAAGGTATATTATTGTCGCCTATTGTTTAAAATGGCCTCAGCATAGGGGAGCATGCCATTGATGCCTTAAAATGCTGACTAGGCAGGCTAAGGCTTGGAATGGAGCTTATGAACACAGATGCAGTAGACGTCTCTGTCAAGTGTTGTTGTAGGCTGCCATCCCAAGCACAAGCCATGATTTTGCTCTGCTGTTCTCAGCCTAAAAAGCAGAAACCCAGGAGGGAGCCACGGCAATGAAAAGGAAGTCAATAATTTCATTTTGTTCTCTGCTTTCAATCTTTCTATGGCACGCTGTGCTCACAAAAGATTATTAATTACCACAAAGCAGTCTTTCCTCTAGGTTTCCAACGGACCGAAGACTGGCGGCTGATTAGAGTCTGATTGTTAAACCAGTTTTGGGTAGAAAAATTAAAGCCTGTGATAAGCAAGAAGTCTAAAATATGAACTGTAAGCAAAGGGAGAGCTATGAGTCTACAGATTTCTCTTTCCCTTTCCTCTAAATTCCCACTTGATCATGCGTAACTTCCAACCTCTCTCATGTTTTATTCAAGGGTTGTTCAGGGTCGTTCTGCCTGTCAATTAACAGTTGTTTTGACTAAGTGGAGGCCTTGTGAAGCGTTGAGAGCAGAGCCTATTCGACACTAAGAGAACTTAAACTGGCGGTTAAATTAAGCCCAGGCTTTTAACTACCCCCTGAAGATGTGTCTACAGGGACACTAACGCATGAGAGATGAACAAGGTTTTATCAGTCACGAGTGGCCTGAGGGGTATGTTTCTCTTTTTTTGCGCTAATTCTGTGAAAATGAATATTGTCATTATTTACTTATCCTAATGTCATTCAAAAATTGTATGCTGTTATTTTTCCTCTGAAACAAAAAAAAAAAAAAATTTTAGAAGAATAGGTACACAGCTGTTTTCCGTACAACTCTTCAATTATTCAAGGGTTGTTCAGGGTCGTTCTGCCTGTCAATTAACAGTTGTTTTGACTAAGTGGAGGCCTTGTGAAGCGTTGAGAGCAGAGCCTATCCGACACGAAGGGAACTTAAACTGGCGGTTAAATTAAGCCCAGGCTTTTAACTACCCCCTGAAGATGTGTCTACAGGGACACTAACGCATGAGAGATGAACAAGGTTTTATCAGTCACGAGTGGCCTGAGGGGTATGTTTCTCTTTTTTTGCGCTAATTCTGTGAAAATGAATATTGTCATTATTTACTTATCCTAATGTCATTCAAAAATTGTATGCTGTTATTTTTCCTCTGAAACAAAAAAAAAAAAAGAAATTTTAGAAGAATAGGTACACAGCTGTTTTCCGTACAACTCTTCAAAGAAATCATGTCTGTGAAGCTAATTCTCACTATTAACTAGTTGCTTATTAGCATGCATATAATTAGCATATTGGCTGTTTATTATTACTTATAAAGCACATAATCTGCATGACCATACTCTGCATCCTTAATTCTACCCAATACCTAAATTTAACAACTACCTTACTAACTAGAGCCCGACCGATATATCGTTTTGCCAATATTATCGGCCGATATGAGCCTGTCGTATATATCGGTATTGGCGAATATGCCGCCGATATGACAATTTTCTTACAGAACATATAACGCAGATAAAATGCTTGAAATGGTGTAATTACTTAGTTTGTCCAGCAGAGCGCGCTCCATTGTTTGCTACTGGCGACCTGGATGAAACGCTTTAAAGCTTAGTCTATGGAAAACCACTGAAACTTTGAACGGCCATATCTCCGTAACAGCAAGGCGAATCCGCACCAAATTCGGGGGATCCCTTCAGCTCGAGGAACCCTATCGAACGCGAATCGAGTGTACGTCTAGAGGCCCTCTTTTGAATAAGACCACCCCCGCATCGATAGCCCCCGGGCTTCGGGAGTTACGGGTGGTTAAATTTGCTGTCCGGCGCCGACCGATTTAACGATCCCGGGGGGCTACCAACGCGCGGAGGGTGGCGCTCGAGAGGGCTCCTCGAGATGAAGGGATCCCCCGAATTTGGTGGAGATCCGCCAGCACGTTCACGAGATAGTGACACCAGTCAACACTTTCACATCAGTAAGGAGGCCTCTTGTTCAGGCAGCAGCATTTAAGCGTTGTCTTATTCAACCGTAAGTGCCCTGCGAAGTGGACATGAAATTCCACCATGATTCCAGTTCCAAGGGAACGTACACGTTACATTCAAAGGGCATTAAAGTGCGTGAGACGTGAATTTATATTGTATTTACAGAGGTATATTATGTCACACTTCACACTTCTAGTAAGTTTCGTCTGTGTGTGAAGACAGTAGTGCAAATCTGTGAATGAATGTTCCGAAGTGAAATAAACTTCAACGGAATAAAGTTGAACGGAATTGAATTAAAGTTAAATAAACTTCAACTTTACTGTTCAGTGCACTGATGTCAGACTCATTTTGGATAATAAAGTTTATTGTTAAATTGTTAAATGCCCGGCCTCCATTGCATATCTCTGTCACGTCATAAGTGTTTGATCACCACATTTGAGTGATCATTGCAAAAAATGTGTTTATGTATATATATTCTGTTTATGTATATACTGTATTCTATATGTAATACCGGTCAAATGTTTGGACACACGAATAGGAAAGTGTCCAAACTTTTGACTGTACTATAAAATACACAAAGAATATCGGCCGATATATATATATATATATTTTTTACTCCCTAATATCGGTATCGGCCCAAAAAAAAACATATCGGTCGGGCTCTATTACTAACTATTAATAAGCAGCAAACTAGGAGTTTGAGGCAAAAGTCGTAGTTAATGGTTTGCTAATAGCGAGAACTGGACCTTAAAACAAAGTGTGACCAAAAAAACAACTACCATAAAGAACCACTAAAGCAGTCCATGTGACTAATGCGCTCTATTGCAAGTCTTCTGAAGCTATTTCATAGCTTTGTGTGAGAAACATACTGAAATTTAAACCATTATTCACCAATAAACTTTCCCTCCAGCAAACTGTGAGTTAGTGTGCTAAACTCGGAACAAATCAGTCTGATATGTGAATCAGAACAATCAGTTCACAGAAAAGAACTGGATCAACAGAATGATTAATTTAATGATCCGTTTCCAGAGTTCAACACGAGATATACGGACCACCTTTATGTAGGCCTATATCTTGATATATGGAAATCAGCTCTCAATATTCTTTAAAAAAAAAAGAGTTCCATGGAAGAAAAAAAAACATCAGAGTTTTGAATGAGTAAATAAGAGTAAACTATTAATTTAAAGTGCCCTTTTCAAATCATTTTATTATGCAGAAAATTCAACTCGATAATTTGGGTAAATTAAGATTCAAAAAGGTCACTGTGCTTTTCAGAAATGAAAACAATATATATATATATATATATATATTTACAATATACAATTATTATTTTTTCTTTCTTTTCTCCTCAACGGAAATAAAACAAATACACTAAAGAGCGAATGAGCGAGAAACAAATGTGTAATATGAAAGACAGCACTTGAGTTACATTGTATTATGTATTATGACCCTTCATTCATCATTTCACAGTATTCCTCCATGGACTGTGTTCATTCAGTGTCTTACCATGCAGTGCTGAAAGACTAGATCATCAGGTTCCTGAAAAATGAGGTTCCTGAAAATGAAGGCTGCACCGTATCGCTTAGTTTGAAAGCGCATTTAGTCTTAATTAAAGTCCTAAATGGGCACCCATTTCAGCAGTCCTTAAAAAAATGCAATGACTAAGCATGCACACTCATGCAGATTACCAGTGCTTAGTAAACACAGAAAAACCTCTTGGAGGCCTCATGCGAGAACTCCAAAATTAACGTAAAAGCCTAAAATTAAAACAGATCTACATGAAACATTTAAGTGACATGGTTTGGATTCAAAACTGAAAATTTGGACCTCTCAACACAAAGCCCATTTGTACAACACCATTCAAACCACACTTTCTTTCTCATGCCTTTCTCATTTATGGGCATTGTGCAATGCAATTTCAAGATATTAAGTTTTTTTAAAGCTATCTGTATTCATCAAGCAGTTTTGTAGTTTACTCTGTAAACTCAGCATTCGGTGCATCCCCACAAAGCGACTAATTGATTTACTGGATCGGTCCCTATGGATCGGCAGTCGTGTTCATATCAATTCCAGAACAGACAGATACGATCATCTCCACCCTCCCATCAATCGAACACAGCGCAATGTAGAGAACAAAGAGAGCGATAGATGAGCCTTGTCGGTGCTTTCTGCTCAACTGCTTGAGCAATGGGGCTGGCCCATTGTGCATTTCAATTACCATCCGGCTGCCGGCACACTTGTTTGAACAATGATCAGCGCTCATATCAGCTCTGTGGGTGGATTGGTTATGCCTGTCAGGCCCTGCCTTCAGACTCCATGAAAGTCAGAGCGTAAAACAAATTAAAATGTATGTTCTCAAAACATGTAAGTGGTTACAACGCATCACCCTCTTTTCTGAGGGCACC